GAACTGCACAGGCTAAATTCCTTCCACAATGTTCTGATAGTGTTCTTGTTTAGGTCTATTACCTCTCCTTTTCCAAGTTGTTCACTGCAGTGTTTTGCAAGATCCTGTACACAAGCTGTTTGTATTTCAGGCATCAGATGGACATCAACAGCTCTTTGATGCATCACACGCTGCACATGAGCAGCACATTTGGGTGAAACCTGCACAACAGATAACAATAATTAATAGGTCTTTCTGAACTTCTTTCCACCTTTGCTTAAATTCATTTTCAAATATTAATCATGGAAATATACTATCAGATTAACCTTTTTCTTTTTTCCACAAGGACTTGCTTTAAAACAGAGGAGAGAACTATTGGCCAGAAGTTAAAGGGGAAATTTAGCAATAACAATCACAAACCTAAAGACGACGTTAATAAGATTTAGATGCGTTCTGCATGTCTAGTAGTATTAAAACAGGTTCCAGCTGACTATACTACGATGGTGATCAATTCCAGAAAGAAAAATGAACAATTAACTGTCACGATTCATGTTCTCAGAATACAAGGAACTTTTCATGTTCTGTTTTGCAGAAGAAGGCTAAGAAATCTACAGAGATGGACAATGCACACGTGTGACTGTTGTTCTGCTCATGAAACCTTTTGTTTTCTGATGCTCTTATTGCCACTGCTGTTTTGGTTTGTTAAGGTCCCTATTAACCAAGTAGGGGAAGGGAGGGGCATCTGTAAACACATGCAAGAATAGGTTCTCAGCATCATTACCCTGTTAAAAAAATACAGCTAAGGAGAGTAAGAAATCACTGTCTTGACGTCTTAACAAAATCTCAAAACAAGCATTCATTTCACGAATTGTAAATTGATTTTTGCAAATTAGCAGTTGGAAAGGAAAGCAGTAAAAACTGTTCTGACCTTTCTTTGTGGATCAAGGACAACATGCCTATAAAGACATGATATAATGAGGCTGCTGGGGTATGAGTCTTGATCATCCAGGTTGGGAGCATTGCAGATGGTCTTAACATCATCTTGGCAAGCTTTCTTCAATACAGGATCAAGTCTGAAACGATCACACAGTATTTTCACTCCCTAAGAAATAGAAAATCCTAGCTTCTACACTAGTAACTCAAAGTTCATGAAGTTTTACCCCATTCAACAAGGGAACATTTTTCATCACTAGTCAAACAGTTCCTCAGATTTCATTGCTTAAGTCAATTTACAAGGTAAACAGATGATTTTCACAGATTAACATACCTTTGCACAGTGACACACAGTCAGCTGTTTATTTTCATTACCATCATTTTTATCAACAAATATTAGTGGTCATTCTATTCCTGACCCAGGGATATCATAAACTCTGCGAGATGCACGCACAGGGAATCATCATGATAGTTGTATGCAATGTCTCAAAGATGTCATGCACATGATGAATACAACTACCATGACTTCCTGCGTGGAAGTCTCATTGGGGGAAAGGTCCATGGTTTGACTTGTGTCTCGTAAACCTGTTTCATAGGGAAGAAATGAACATCTAAAAAGTGGCATTTGCTTAATCAGGCTATAGGTTAAAGAGACACCATCATGTATGCAGTGATTTTTCCAGCATTATTGTGGCAGTCCTAAATTTATGGCATCATGAAATAAGTTTTTCGCAATTCTTTTAAGACATGACCACAGATTTCCAATTTGACATTGCAACAGTGTGCATGTGAAACCCATTAAGACACTCTTTTAATTTATAGCTTCAACTGCACACTTATATTTATTTGATAGTGACTTTCACTGCAACTGTAGAACATTATAACATTATTTAATAGGTTTCAATGAGTGAAAATAGACCTTTAATTAAGGTTTTGGCTTTTCAAGGTCACACTCTTGATAGTGCACCTTTAAGCTGATACAGAGTTATGTTACAACAACCAGTTAAAGGGCCAAAACAGTGCATTCTTACTCAATGTCCCTTGCAATGAAAAATTCCAAGTGCAATAACTGTTCCTCACACTCAGGTATCATGTTATCTGTGTGAAGATTCTCCATCAGACATGACAAAACCCTGTTATTCAAAAATGCACATGAATAATTAATATTTAATGCTGACAAAATAATTATTAACAATATACTGCATGTTATTTCACAAATTGTATAATTACATGTACAGTGTACATTAGTGCTGATAGAATCTCTTTCTTAAAGCCTTCACGACTTCTAGCTTTGTTGATGTGGCCTTCTACATGCATGTATCAAGTGTCTAACTCTGTGACCTTAAAGGATTGCATAGTTTATTGCTGTCATGACAACCATCATTGTTACAAAGTTAACCAAATCATGTTGCATTTTGGTACCAGGGCCGGGTTGTTCAAAAGCCCGTTAACACTGACCCAGGATTAAAAGTTAACCGGGGTAACAATTTTTCTTCTATAAAAATGTTATCCACCGCTTATGTTTTGTGTAGTTTGAGATTACTCATGCTCAAAACTGAAGGGCAAAAAATATAAAAAGAACACCGTGCTGAAAAGCTACAAAATTGAAATCGAAATTCTCTCTAATCCTGGGTTAGCTTAATCGGGCTTTGAACAACCCGGCCCTGGTACATATAATGACCATTTTGAAGCACCAATTTGGTTCAAGGAAGATGATGTCAGTAATTAATTTGTACAGTGTGATTGTCCAGGTAAAGGTACAGTAGTTCTGAAAAGAATAGGGCCTGACATTTCTATCATTTCAGCAATCTGAACAGAGTTAGGCAATCTTTTGATTCAATTGACACTGAACATGACTTCTGCTAAGATTGTTTCAATGACAGTCCCCTGCCAGTAACAGTTCTTTTCTGAACTATCCTCACCTCAACAATAACACCATCAAATCTACTCGTATTTAAATGCTGAGGTTCTGAAGTGTTCACGTACATTTGAACTTTGTGCATATTTGATTCCAATTTGTCTGTTGATGGAGTAGATGTCCTGTTAGAAGGTTACAGAATTTCCCCCATTTGAATTTCAAACTTTTAACTTTGCAATTTTGCAAGGTCTGGACATTGCTGTCATAATTTCAACACAAGACATGTTGTTTGTCATCAGTTCATCAACCGTCAAGTCGCTGTGTCAGTACTGTGTGGCATGAAGACATGATGTGACATGTCAGAATTTCATCATAACAGGGCCTCACAGTATGACAGAATGAGCGAACAAAAGTATTCAAAAAGAGATTGATTGACTGACTGACAGACAGACAGACAGACAGACAGACAGACTGACTGACTGACTGATTCATTTAATAAGTAAGTGAGCTAGTTAGCTTGACGACTTACATTACATCTCCTTCCTTTTTGCCTTTATCCTTACACACAGTCTGAACAACGGGTTCACATGCTTGGTACAAAGTATGATCAATGCGGTAATCACTCCCAGCACCAGTTTCCTCCAAAAGTTCCTCAATCTGTCAACCCGCAAATGTCAACATATCAACATATCAACATATCGTAGGTCGTTTTGAAGTATATTAGTTTCTAAGTTAATTGGTTCCAATTCAAAGACAGCACTAATGTAATTAGAATTTTGAATATACCACAAGTTTTTTCACTCAAGAGGCATTCTCAAAGACTTCTTAACCTCAAAATTTGTTGCTGAGGTGATTATCAGTAATTGAACTTGTTGTACAATCCAAGGAGTAACCAAAGTTTCTCACAATAATAGTACAGTCTGAATTGCACCCTGACACTCAGTCTAATTACTATGATTACTTGTTGGGTGTTTGGTGCTTTTCTTCTTTTACAGTGAAGTTAGTAATAAAATTATTATAATTATTACTTTAGGCTTTTTGTTAAATGAAACTTATTATTATATGAACATGATCACAAAAAACGATTTTTAATAGCCTTTCTTTTCATATTACTTACAGCCTTCAAGCACTGTGGCCTAATGACATCATCCTTTCCCTCATTTTCCTCTGCCAAGTCCATTAAACAGTCGATGGTCTTCCCTTCCTTCATTTCTCCTTTGCTACAATGTTTTTGAATTTCCACGTCACACTGTGCAACAATCTCAGGATTGATGGAGTAATCTTGCATCAGCTGTTGCCTCAGATCAAATAACTCTGCCTGACACTTGCTGCTAACTTTTTGATCTGCAGGTCATCAAAAGTCAAAATTTAATATTTTTTGTTGCAGATAACTTAGTTTCACATAGTAGTTGTCATCTACCAAACAATGTTAACAATTCTCCCTTCACCCACTTTTGCCCATTCAGGAATTACATTACATTCAAAAACCTGAGCTATCCTTAATTTAGATGCATCCCATAGGTATATTGCTTCTACTCAACGGGCCTTTGCATTTGGGTGATAACTGATACATCTTAACTTAAGAGGGCATTACAATTCTGGTTCTTGTAACGTAACAGAGAATAAAATTCAAATAAATTCAAATTCAATTCAATTCAATTTTAACTAACTGTTTCCACTTTTGACACCACAAAAGTCTCCACAAAGGAAACAAAATGTTTTCAATTACTTGGATGATCATTCTGAGATAGGTACTGAGAAATGTCTATTGAATTTAATAATAACATGAAAAGTTCTCATCAATTTCTGCAGAGAATCATGGTAGTTGTATTCATCATCTTGGAGCGGATATTTGTTTCAATGAATACAACTACCATGGTTCCCTGCTTGCATCTCGTAGAGGGAATTGGCAATTGTTTCTACCTGCTTTCCTATGTAGCTGTGCTTACAACTGAAGTACAAAACACGTGGTTCATAAATCATGTTTCTACAGACTGTATCTAGTATGAATACTTAAAAAACAGCCCTAAGAAAATACGCATGCTGATTGGTTAAAAATCATGTTTCTATAACTTGATAGAAACACAGAACTAGCACCAGTTGTTGACATAATTGTGGCGCGAGCGAAGAGAATTTACATTTTGATAATCAAAGTTAACAAGTAGTTTTAATTTTTTTTTTTGTTACGGTGTTTCCTAAAAGAAATAGAAAACATGTTCTCCGTGTTTCTATCGAGTTATAGAAACACTTGTGAAAGTTTGGGAGAACTCGAAAAAGCTGTGGAAACAACATTTCTCGTTCTCCCAAACTTCCACTCTTGTTTCTATGACTCGATAGAAACACAGTACATGTTTTCTATTTCTTAAATAATTACCATCTTGAACAGCTTTCTCCAAGCAAATCAGAATGTTTGCCAGAGCTCCATGTCTTGTGTTTCCTTTTTCACATTCATATTGATCCTTGTATTGTTGATAAAACTTCATGCAATTCTTCATCAATGGATAGTTGGCCTAGTAAGAAGAAATAAAGCAAAATTAAAACATTGTGAGTTTGACTTTATCCATCAAGTAACAGCCAGGTGAACAGTTCTACATGGGTGTGTGTATATTCCATTTACAAAAACTCTCCACAAATTCTTGTTGGGGTGTAAATAAAGTATAACTTCTTGGCCAAGTCCACTGGAATGTTTCCAGGAGCAGTATACTGTAGCCACAGAATTTTTAACTAGATTTCCCATTTTCCATTTGGCTGCTACAAAATAATACAAATCCATATTCTGTTTGTACCCATTGTTGTAATATTTGCACCAGTTCCACTGGCATTTTACAGTGCAGCCATTTCAGTCAATATGGTCACAAGTACACAACAAGAGACTGTGTGTTGTAATTGAAGGGGTGAGTGCAAAACCATGCCAAGTGAGGATTTGGGTGAAAAAAAAAAAATTTTCGTGAAAGGGCTTGAATTTTTGCATGTGGTCTTCAATGTAATAGAAAAACGTGGCCCTGTATTTTTGTCACTGGTTTTTGCTTCGTTTT